TTTAAATCATACTGGAAATGAAGGAAACAACATTGAATATAAAAGTAAATTCAATTATGTAAAACGACATGCATGAAACTAGAGAAATTTAAGAAAATATTAGCAATAATTTTCTTGGTGGTGGAATTACGGCTGATTTTTTTCATCTTATCTTCCCTTTTTTATCCTGATTTTTTTCCCCCATAATAACCATTATTAAACTAGGTTTGGCTGGAGAACTAAATTTGATCTCTCCGTTGGCTTTCGACCAAAATAATAATGTAATGTCTCCACATGGTGCCAGGCACCTAGAAAGCCCTCTGTGAACACTTGTGGCATTAAGGGAACTGAATGTAAATGAGGTTTTCTGGTGACTGCTTCTAATTGAGTCCGTTCAGCTTCAGTCACTCAGTCAGCATTTACTTAGTGCCTACTGTGTCCAGTGACCTGCACAAGAGACTGTGTGAGTGTTGGAAGCAGAGGATACAGGTAGACTCTGAGTTTGTTGTGTGGCAGACCAGTTCGCAGAAGAGAATAAACATCCACACATAAAAACAGATGGAAAACATGCCCAGAGAAAACAAATGGATACATCTAGCCTGAAGGGTTGGGTATCCTGTCCCGGCCAGCCCCACCCTGGACATCCTTGGTGGTATCAAGATGGCAGCCTCTTCTCTCTGCTCCCTCTTTTCCCATCTCCTCAATGCCCACTACCCCTTCTGCCACGCTAAAACCAACAGAGGCCCTGGAAAGTCAGTTCACCTCTTCTCTAGTCGTAGGAGGTGAGAGTCCTCCAAAATGTTCAAGACAAAGATGAATAGCAACAAACACCTGGGATTCTTTACCATTTGTCCACACTCAACTCCAGGAGAGCTGGGCTTCATCAGTCATCCCATGGGGAACAAAGAAGCCAAGAAAGAGAATGGGAAAAAGCACCCTGAGAGCTCTCTGAAAATGTTCTCCAAGTCTGAGAAATCACCAGTGTCTTTTCTGGCCGCAAGGGTTCGTCTCTCTGCCATTGGACAATAGGCAGAGGGAGAAGTCACAAAATTTTCTGATGGTCCAGCCAAATTCACTGGTTCCCAAGAAACTCTCAAGAAATACATGGCATGAACATGGGTGCACAGTGTGGTGTTTCAAGCATTAGAACATTCCATGGCTGTTCCTAACTCCACCTGCAATTGCACTAAGACCAAAGGAAGTTTAACAAGATATTCAACTGAAGGTTTGCCTGACACACCATGAAACAACAGGCATGACATTCCAGTGTGCCAGATGATGCATATTTTCAAGGAAAGAGCTAAAAACTTATTAGAGAACTCAGGCTTCCCACCCATACCTACATTGAGAGTATAAAATGGCCTGGCTTTCCAAGATTAAGGGAAAAGATTTGTGAAGAAAATGTATTTGGAAAAAAAATTATTGATGTGCTGTGGGCCACACCCTTTCCAAGAGGAAGAGTGACAGTTACCTGTCCCTCATCTCAAATGTGGTGAAAGGAGCTTCAGGAGACCACTCGGAAAGCTTGGTACATGTCTGCTGTGATGGATGGACACACTGGACTTGCAGAGAGAGATGAGCTGCCTGGCTGCTCCCACTGTGGAAGAAAGGAGAGGTTTCTGCAGCCTTAGGACTGACCTACATGCTCTCAGAATGTGTCTTGGCAGGGATACCCAAGAGTGTCCCTTGGACCAGTTGTGAGCCAATGGTACAAGGGAGAGCAGGTGTGGTCACAGCAGGCCCTGTCCAAGAGAGGCCACTTCGAGGGGTGAGCAATCCTCAGCAGAGAAAAGCTGAGATGATTTCCAATTCCTCTGAGTTGTGGGCATGCTGAGGGGTGGCCATCCTGGACAAGGGACCTGCAGGAGAAGGCAGAAGAAAGGAGTCCTAAAGACGCACAATCACACCCAAGAAAGAGCATCAGTCACCCAGAGGCCATCTTTCCATGCTGCCAGTCAAGTAAGGCTTCAGATCTGTGTATCTTAGCTGTACATCAGCTCTGAGTACAACTATTCATAAACTTTGACTCTAAGATTTAGACTCGTGTTTGCTAAACATACCTGATCATATAAGCTGAAAGAAATGCAGCTTTCTAGACATTATTGCTAGAGATCCTGGAAGTCTGTTTTTATATCCACTGTGTAACTCTTATGATTGGCTATATCTAGAAGATGGGAATCCAATCTAGTGCTTCCCAAACATCTCCAGTGATTTCTTTAAAAAGAAAAAAATTCTTGGGGCAGCCCTTTTCTGAGTTAGAATGTCCAGAAGACGGGTTCAGGAAGCTGAACCGCCCAGGTCATACAAGATGTTAAACCGAGTGGTCTCCCTGAAGCTCCTTTCACAAGATCTGAGACGAAGGACAGGTACCTCTCACTTTTGCTCTTTGAAAGGGTGAGGTCCTCAGCACATCAATAATTTTTTTCCAAATAAATTTTCAACAGCAAAGTGTAGTTCATGTGGTGCACCCCCTCACCCTGTGAGAGGAAACTCAGAGTTCACCAGAGGGGTGCGGGGGTGATTTTCCTAAAGCCTCACAGCAGGTTGGTAGTCGGAGCAGGACCAGAACCCAGATCTCTTCACTCCCAGGACAGGCATTTTTTTTTTTTTTTT